AGTAAAGGAAAAGTTCAACGGATCAAGCTGAAATTTTCAGCAATGACTACTAACATGTAGTTGAGCATTTGCTGAAAGTTTCAGGCAATTCTACCTTCACTTTCTAATTGGGCCGAAATGCTCCTAAAACGTCCCCCGTCCTTTCTAGGAAGAAAGCCATATAAATGGTGGCAAAAGAAAACTATATAGTATTAAATTCATAATTAGTAGTATCATGTGACTCAAACCTGGTTCAAATCAGAATGGCACTTGAAAGATTTAACTTTTGGAAATTTAATACAGAATAACCAATTTATACTTTTTTTCACTAGCTTAATTTAAGCGAAAAATCATGTGATTGTTAGCTTTAAGGTAAACGTATGTCTCTGAATTTGGAATAGGAATCACTCCTCATCAAAACAGAAACTCGAATTTCAAAGATGAAGTTTTCACTTCATTATGCAACATTTTACATGAGCTTCAAAACTACAGGTGCGACTAGCTGAATTTTCGAAAGTTTCAAACGGAAGGAAACTGATGAAAGCTTCAGAGATTTATTGATCATTTGTTCACTTACCTAATGTTTGATGGATAAAGCTTTTCAAAAACTATAAAATCCGTATATTCTCTACTATTTATCTTCCTGATCTCAATGAAAGTGGTTGGGTAAAATGAGTTTTTAGCTTAGAAAGTTGGTCTGTTTCTATCTATGAGTATTTTTTTGTTGCCTTTTGCTCCTTAGTCTGTTAGAATCATCAGTGTCATCAAGTCTTGCATAGAATTTGACGCTGCATCTTTTGGACAAACAATCAGATCTAACGATTCAAAAGAAAAAAGTTATGACCAAAGTACTGAGAGAGTCATTATTTATACGCCATTCATTATGCTATCCAATGAATCAATATGCAGACCTCCGATACTATGTCTTTACGAAATTAATTTCTAAAAAAAAAAAAACTTCCTGCCGATTTTTGAACTATGGCTGGAGAGATGAGAGGGGAGAATAATCTCATTTTAAAGCTTATTGCTTCCTCTAAAAAAATGAACTTGCGCCGTCCATGATATTGATATTTAATTAACAACAAGCTCCAATAAAAACGAAAACATTTTGTTTTATTGTGATGGATTTTTATTAATATGGATACACACATGAGGAACAGAATCGGAAATTATCTATTCGTTCTCAGTTCTTCATGTTCGAATATTCGAATGTTGCATGTCTATTTTTCACTAGATATTAAATAAAATCAAAATAATTCAAAAAAGAGATCTTCCATTCTTTTACTTGGTTTATGTAACTGACAGCATTTTTTATGACATTTTTTTTACAATAATAAAGAAGAAAAAATATATCGGACAAAGTCCAATTTATATAGTGATGCTTTTCTAATATTTACTTTTCATTTCATCAAATGTCCCAAAAAATGCATGATGCGTACGAATATTCTATAGAATCGTTTGAAATCGCTTCTAATAATTGTATTCTTTGTTTTTGTTTCACATGAAAAGAATATTTAATTAAATTCAATGATTTAGGTTTTTTTGAGTAGATGAAATTGTTTTTATGCATATATGTAAAAATAAAACCCTTACAAAATAAAACTGTAAAGAAAAAAATTGTCTTAATTTCATGAAATTTTTCAAACATCGTTTCTAGTATTATTTTGAATGAATACATATCAATCAACTCGTGTAACATTTGTACCAAAACCAACGAAATATCGAACACAATTGAAGGTATGTAGAACAGTTTTTTCAACAGATTTTATTCGTTTTTCTTTCCATAGGTTGAACCTGTTCGTAGTCAACCACACTGTGAAGATACTGGTACATCGCCATCATTATCATCTCATATCCATCTATGGACAACATCAATGAATTCTTTTCAACAACCATTAACATCAAAGTCTATGAAGAGATTAATTGAAAATAAGACACATAGATCGAAGGAATTCTTGTTAAATTCATCAACTTATTTTGATATGGTCCAACAAACAATGAAAAATACTTCAAAGTGAATGATATATAGATAATCTCTCTGTCATATAAAATCTATTTATTATAGAGACATACGAAGGAAGAATAAAGATAAAAAGAAGAAATATTCAAAATTATGTCATATTACTATTATAATTATTGTTATTTTATTAATATTAAGTGTAATTGCAGTCGGTATTTATCTTTCCATCCGTTTTACTACAAATAAAAAAAGTACAAAAAGTATACATCATTCGTTTTTCTTTTGTAATCTAATATTCTTTCTTTTTACTCAAATCTTTTTCATTACAATGGAAATAATTATGTATGATAGCCATATGTTTTAATTAGAATATATGATGTAGAAAATCTTCTAAACTGACTGTAAATTTTGTTTGTTGGAAAATACACATATATCTCATACTCACATTGTTATGGGAATGAAAGTTATAAGAAAATAATATTTATTTTACAGCTCTCAATCCTGTCCTTCGTTGGAATTCAACAAGCATAACTGTAGCTGGACTTAATAATGCACCTGGTGTCAACGCTAGTCAACTCTATACACCGACTGATGTTGCATTGGATCCATTCAATACACTTTATATTCCTGATTTCATAAATAATCGAGTACAAAAATGGCTCATTGGAGCATCAAGTGGTACAACAGTCACCGGTCAAGTAAATGCAACTTTGAGTAACACTACAGGTTATTTAAATCGTCCTGCTGGAATATATATTGATTCAAATGACAACATATTCGTGTCTGATAGTAATAATCATCGAATTCAGCTGTGGGCCAATGGAGCATTGGTAGGAACGCTGATCGCCGGAACAGGTAGATTAGATAGATAGTAAACTTAATGATACAAATGCTACTGAATAAATCATAAAAAGCACAGAATATTACAGGGAATAATCAGACAATTATTGACAATACTATGGCATTTGATAAATCTCTCTGTTGAATATAGAGAAAAAAAATGAACGAGTTTTTTTGTTTATCTAGGTATCTTCATATACTTTTTATTTATGTTTACTTTTAACAATAGGTTCTGCTGGAACCGGCAATAATGAATTTTACAATCCATATAGTATTGTACAAGATTCAAGTACAAAAACACTTTATATTGGAAACTACAACAATCATAGGATGATGAGCTATACATCAGGTGCTTTACTAGGCTCTGTAGTGGCTAGAGGAGATGGATTAGGAACAAACAATACACAATTGAATAATCCAGTTGGATTATATTTTGATTCATTTACGAATAGTCTACTCATTGCTAATTTTATGGCTAACAATATTGTTTGATGGACATTAGGAGCAAGTAATTGGATACTTGTTGCTGGTAGTATCACTGGATCGTTTGGAAATTCATCAGTACTGCTTTATCGTCCTGCTGGTGTAAACACTCGATCCAATAGGTAATGTGTACGTCGCTGATACAGGGAATCACCGAATTCAATTATTTTTAGCTGGCCAAACAGAAGGTACAACAATTGCTGGAATCTCATGTATGAGCGGTAGCAATTCCACTCAACTGACCATTCCTTACACAGTACGGCTTGATAGTCAACTCAATTTATATGTAGTAGATACAGGAAATAATAGAATTCAACGATTTTTGCTGTATTAAATCATTACTTTAACTATTGCTGAAGATACTTACAGATATAGAATTAATTAATAGATATCATTTGAAATTGATGTAAAAATCGTTTCAAAAATCGAATAATTTATTAAACGAATAATAACATTTCAACTTCAAATCCTTTTTTATATTCATGTTAAGACCTGCTCATGATAAAATTTCTAATTCTTTCTTTCGCTTCAAACTACCTAATTAATTTATATTTCATAATTACATATTTATTCAAAAAAAGAAATAATTACATTATTCTTCTATATTCTTTCCACATGTTATAACACGTTTGTTGTAAAATGAATGATGACTGTTTGTTGCAGACTTGTTTCGTTCTGTTGTTTGATTTCAACTAGATTATGACATTATAGATTTCTAGTTGAGATGACGATTAGAAGTAATTGAATTATTTTTAAACGAATATATCAAAGTTGCAGAAAAAGAGTAGTTAATTTTCGACATCTATAAAGCAGAGTTCAGTTGTAGATTAAAGACAAAATTTATGTTAACATGCATTTAAACAAAATCAAGGTGAGATGAAAAATAACTAAAGATAATCTTATATTGAACTGTTCTCATTAAAAATGCGTTATTTTTCGAATCAAATAACCAGATATTTGCATCCATGTATTTGACATTCCCTAGTCGAACTTCTTTTTTTTTTTCATGCTCTCGATCTGCGCAAACTTCAAGTTTTGTCCATAGCGCATGACTTTCTTGCTCAAGACAAGCGCTTGAGTGTTTGCATGAGTCACAAGAAACTCATGCACTCAACTCAAGAAAATGCAACTATGAATTTTTATTAAAAGTTGAGTTATTTTTGAACGTAAAATTTTAAAAAAAAAAGTACAAAAGTTCCTACATAATAGGAACACTTGGATCAGAATTCAAGCACATGAGCAAGAATATCAAGCGATAGGACAAGAAGTTCAAGAGATTGAGCTCGATAAAAGATCTTAAGTCTTGCCTCAAGATTTGTCCATAGCGCATGACTTTCTTGGTCAAGATTCTCAAGTATCTCATGCGCAGACTAAAAGAAATTCGACTAGAGATTGGTTTTTACTGGAAAAAATAAAGAAAAATTTTCAAATGAACATTCTTCAAACGTAGCTTTTTATGTAGAAAATGATAATCTCCCAACATACTTCTCAACATATAATCATTATTTTATTGTTTTCAACCTTTAGTCATGACATGAGAATAACAAAACTATTTTATCTTGGTCAAATATATCTATCCTTACGTGCTAAATGATATGCACAGTCTAATGGACCCAATAATAGGTTCATATACATATTAAATCAACCCTAATAAGAAAAGTCGTTCCAATTTTTCAGTGTTATCAAATTCAAAACAATTAGTTGTAGTTCTCTATACTATGATAGATGATATCATAAATCGAGATACATTAGAATAGTAATGAAGGCTTTCACATTCTTCTTCAACAGTCTGCTACTGAATTTGTTTCAATTTTATTTTAGACAACTGCATCCGAAGGATTACTGACATTATCAGATGCATAGTTGATCATCGATTTGAACGTTTTTACCACTTGAGGGTAGGGGTGTAGATGCGGATGTATGGGTGTAAGGTGTGGTTAAAGCATACTATGGGTTATTTAATTTCAATCTGAATTTAAACAGAAAAAAAAACACTTGATTTCAAATTGAAATAAGGGACTAAGGGACT